ACGGACTGTTATCATTTATATCCGTCACCTCCACTGTCACACGATAAAGCTGGATAGGATTTTCTAAAATCACCTCGAAGCTGAAGCTACAGGGCGTCGTCTTTCCACACAGTTCCTCCCGGTCGATTCTCTCTTTAATAACAAGGATCCCTTTGTCTTTGTTTAAATCCACATACTGTCGGCCTCCTTTTGTAATAATACGAGCTTTACCTGAAATCAGCCTCGCAACATCCAAGCCTAAATCTCTTGCAATGTTTCCGACAAACGATCCTTCGGCCTGCTCCTCCGGGATGGAATACCGAGCCTGACCAGCCACTGCGCTTAGCTCGATGAGACAAAGAATCAACACCAGCGCTTGCCGTCGGCCTCTGTGAGCCATTATCCACACAGAGGCGATCATAAATCCAGTGTTACAGACACAGTAATTGTTTTTTAAATTCAAACTGATGTTAGTAATCCAAAAATTCAACACGTTTATATATTTTCAGCAAGTAGACTCCAGGAGAGATTCTACACTTGAATCCGTGACGGAACAGAGAAGCTTCGCTCCAAGTATTATAACACTGAGTGAATACAAAGGGGAGGGCCGCTGTATTAAGGGTCTGAACAAATACTCAGTGACGTATCAACAGCGGCACTCAGAGCCCACACAAGGTAATGTAAGTGAAATGCAGAATTACTGAAAAAGGTTAGATCTAAACGCATTTTTTTTGTTACTAAATAAAATTATTGAGCTAATATAGAGGCAAAGAAAACAATATATAGCTCATAAAATAACCAGAGCATGTTTACATAAATGCCTTAAGTATATGATGACAGTGATATAACATTTTATTCAAATTCCATGCAAACTTAATTTCGTTATAACCACCGTAGATATAACAAAAATACTGAAGATTATCTGTACAGCCAATTAATAAAAAGTGTGCGAACACGAAAAAAGAGGAGAAAGTAGTAATTTCTATAAAGTTAGAGATTCTTTGGAGGGAAGGGGAAAGAAGAAGGAAAAGCAGATTTCCTATATATTCCATTGATTTATCAGAATTCCCGTTTATTTTCATTTGTTTTCTTTTGCAATCGTCTATGTTGTTCCCTTTCATATTGTAATACAAATGACCTCGTGCTAAAGAGATCCGTATGTTATTAGGTTAATCAGAAACACAATTTGAGAAAGTAAGAATGACTAATCATTTATGAACCGTTTACTGGTGAATGCATATGTCACAATTTGATTATAATTATAATAATGGATTGCATTTATATAGCGCTTTTCAAGCACTTTACAATTCCACTATTCATTCACTCTCACAATCACACACACTGGTGGAGGCAAACGACAGTTGTATCCACAGCTGCCCTGGG